AATAGTAATCGTTAGAATAGACAAATTTTATTTTCTTTTTTTTTGATATCCTCTTACACTTTTTCTTTTCTTGTTTGTATCTTTTATCATATTCCTTTTTATCTCTGTGTTTTTTCTTTTTTTGTATTTGTATTTTTATTAATTTGGCTCTTTTAATGAAGCATGTAGCTTCTAAAGCTAAGGATCAGAGAGTTTAAACCCTTAGTAAGTTGAGGATTCAATATAAAGCTGATTGCTACTAAATAGATTGTTCTTGAGTATTGCTCGAGTTGATCTTTACTTGATAGAATATAGTATAGAAAATTGTATCTTTCTGTTGATATGAGTTCTAGTACTTCTAATAAATAAGAATAAATATTACTTTTCATATTAGTTTTATTTATATATGTTAACTATAAATTTTTGAGGTTAGTTACTATTCTTTATATAGATAATTTTATTAAGCATAATACTATTCTAATATACTTTAAATTAAATATAATAACTTAAATTTTTATATATTAATAAGTAATTAAAAATATATAATATTTAAGTATTTATATAACTTATTTATAAAAAATTTTTATAAACTTTTAAAATTTTATTAACTATAATCTAAGTAGGGATCTGCAACCCAGACATATACCTGTATCCAACAAAAGGTCTGGGTATGAACATAGATACAAAACCTCAGGTATGGGCATGAGCACAGGTATGAAAACTCAGATATGAGTATGAATATAAGTATAAAAAATTGGCATAGGCATAGGTACAGCACAAAAAACTTGGCATAAATATAGGCACAGGCACAGAAATTTAGTATTTATTATTTAATTATACCTGGCACTTTGCTTAGTATCTGTGTCTGATATCTTGTGTCTAATACTTTATGCCTATGTTTTTGCTAGTGCCTAGCACTTTGTGTCTATGCTTTTAATAGTATTTGGCACTTTGTACTGATGTTTACAATAGTGTTTGGTATTTTATGCCTATAGGCATAGATATAACATGAGGCATCTAATGCCTAGCATAATACCCATATGCCTGGCATAGGCATTTGCAGATCCCTAAATCTGAGATAATTATCATCTCAATACTATATCTTAAAAACAGAACTAAGAAATAGGAATCAGATAGGTTAAATAAAAAATATTCAATACTTTTCAAAACCTTATATAACCTAAATTTGGAACTATTATAACTAATCTCTGTCTTGGTTTAAAATTGTATTCTAACCCTAAAAATAGTAAAGTAATAATCACTTTAGATTATTATAATAATATTTCAAATTTTTGATTCAATATTTTTTTAAAAAATTTAAATTTAAAAAAAATAAAAATTTTTAATTTTTAAAAGTAACTAACTAAAATTAAATATTGCTTTGTACTACTACACAAGTAGCTTAATATAACAATTACAAAAAAAATTTGCAAAATTACATACAAAATTATTATATAAAAAAGAATTATCTTTTAAACTATCCAAATAAGCAATAACTAAAAAATTTCTCTTTGAAAATATATAAATTTTTAAGAAATTTTTTAAAATTTTAATAGCAAAATTAAAAATAAGTTTAATTAAAAATATAATATCTTTATCAAAATTAAAGATAGAATACTAAAATTTAAAATTATTATTTATAAAAAAAATATCTTTAATTTTATTCAATAAATAGGGTCAAGCTTAAATAAATTTTAAAAAAACAAAAAACTTTCTAAAAATTATTTAAGTAGCAAATTTGCTCACTAGATAGTTTAAAAAATAATAAATAAAAAAATAAATCTAAACAGTGTCTCATATACTTTGTGCTCTTATAGCAAAACTAAGTTTGCAATAGTAATTAGGTTAGATTAAAGTTAGATTTAAGGCTAGGTTTAGGGTTAGGTTAAGGTAAAATTGTAAGAAGAATATTTTTGCTTATATTATACAACAGGATTACTTAGTTAAAATTTGATATATTGGTAATTTTATAGTAAAGAGCACAAAGTGCATAGGGTACTATCTAATTATATCCTAAGTAAATACTAATTTTTCATATAATATTGTTTTTTAAATAATAAATAAAAATTAAAAATTTATAACTTAACTATCAAAATAATTCTCTCAATGAAAGAATTCCAATGAATCTAAAATCATACAAGTATAGTCATGTAAACACAAGATTAACAAAGATTTATCTTTAATATAAATCTCTGCTAATCACGTGATTAAACGATCATATTTGTATGATTTTAGATTCATTAGAAACCTCTTATTGAGAAGATCATTTTGATAGTTAAATCATTTAAATTGAATTTTTAAATATTTATATATAATTTTGTATAAAAATTAATAATTGAGATTCAAAAGATTTATATATAATTTTGTATAAAAATTAATAATTGAGATTCAAAAGATTTAATTAAAATATAATTTATTTATTTTTATTATTTAAAATTAAAAAATATATGCAATCCCAAAAGCTTAGTCTTAAATAGCAATAATTAGATAAAATATTAATTATAAACTTTTTTAACTAGTAATATTAATATGTAATGTATCAAAAGTGATGAAATAACCAATACTTAAAATAATGCATTAAACATATAATAAATAAGAAAGATAAAAGAAGTAAATATAAATATAAGAAATAAGATATAATATGGATATAAGAAATGTAATTGATATTATTGAGACCAATAAGAACTTATACTATTGTCGGGTGTAAAGCGATGGTCGCGGTCACGTTTTATTTAGTAACGGGGGATCGGATTTATCAGGTCGACACTATTCGGGTTAACACTGGGTATTTCACTCTGTATTCAATTGCGAAAAATTTTTATAGGGGTACTTTGATGTGGGGGTGCTATTGGGGCTTCCGATATACTAATTAATCAAATCTATGTAAGGTATTGTAATAAAAACTAGCAGTGCAGATTTTATGCATAGATCGGCAAAATTGTTAAATTTACTAGCGAAGACTAGTGATCAAAAATTTTATTCATCTCACGTACAAACTATTTTTTCCTAGCAATTTATGCGTCAAACGATTAGTTTAATATAATTAAACAAAGTTACGGTTTAAAATTTTTACTTTAATATTTATTTCCTAATTTTTTTACAAAGCCAATTCATTTTTCTTTAATTCGAACAATGTTGCAAAAAGCTCTTACTAAGTTAATTAAAAATTTTAAATCGTAACTTTGTTTAATTATTTTAAACTAATCGTTTGATGTATAAATTACTAGGAAAAACTAGTTGGTACGTAAGATGAATCAATTTTTTGGTCACTAGTCTTCGCTAGTAAATTTAACGATTTTGCCGATCTATGCATAAAATCTGCACTACCAGTTTATATTACAATACCTTACATAGATTTGATTAATTAGTATGTCGGAAGTCCCAGGGTGCTACGGTCCGCGCTGCACGGTATATTTAAAATTATCTAACGCTATCTATATCTTTCGATGGCCATTGCATATTCGTAATATTTTGTAATTAAATTTTTATAAAGCTCTACTCGCCATTGAATAACGCTAATAAGTTGTTATATATCCCGTCATTTAATACACCAGTAATTATTGAAAATAAAAAACATCATAATAGAGAATTTCCGATATATTTTAAACTTATAATATTTTCAAAATCTATAATTAGAATATGTTCTTCGAGTTTCTTGTTTCATGCTTGAACCTCTTAAACTATTTTTTTAACACGTAAGAGGTAATTCTTGAATAGCATATTATTTTGTACAATCGTTCCCACTCATTAACGGAATATTTGTTTAAAATTATTAATTCAGTGAGACGATCTAATAACTCGTTACAATAAATAACTAGAATCGAAACAATAACAATTAAAAGAATATATTTAATATTTATATTGTGTTTATTTTAAAAATAATAAATAAATAAATAAATAAAATCCTTGTATTTATATAACTACAAAATAATGTCCAGTTTAAATGTTATCTAGCTCTTATTCTCAATAAAACTCAATATTATTCTAATCTTTTTTACTATCATTTTTAATTTGTTAAGCATGCTTCGTAATAAGATCAGAAGAGGATCGAGTAGGAGAAGTTGGTGTAGATGGAGAAATTGGTGGAGTTTGAAAAGTTGGTAGAGCCGGTAATTCTTTTCCTAAAAAAAAAATATTTAAAAAATATATTTATTTTTAAAAAAAATAGTTTTAAGAACTTGATAATAATTTAATTAATTATTAACAAATACCCCTAAGCCAATAAATAAAACCAAATGGTTCAGCTATTGGTTTTTCTTAAAAAAAACAAAAAATTATTTAACTTATTTAAATAATTTAATTATTTTAAAAAAATATACTTACCGAATAAAAATAAATAAAATGCTAGCATTACAGTGTAAATGGCTGCAACGGTTCCTATAATATCTGCCATCTATTCAAAATCAATACATGTAACTTTTATTATATATCATTTTATTAATTTTTTTATTACAACAAAAAAAGTACATACATTACGATTCCTGTATTTTTTAAAACAAAAAGAAATATATGATTAAAAATTTATTATTTATTATTATTTCGAATATTTGTATTTTATAATATATAAAATAAAAATACTTTTGTTCTTTTTCTATTTCTACCATACTAGTCGATGGATGAATATTTAAAATGGCTAAGTTGGAAAATTGAGGATCTTTTAGATTATCCGAATTTTGAGTAACTGGTACAGTTTCTAAATTACAAGAAAAAATTAGAAAAAATATTTATTATAATGTTTGTATGGTAAAATAAAAATTTCTTACGTATTTCTGATTCAATATAATAAAAAGTTGTATCATCATAATTTGGAGGAAAACCTATTCTAGTCCAAAATGAATTATCCATATCTTGTCTTTTTTTTCTACGAAATGATAGGTAATAAGTCTAACCAACATGTTTTTAATTAGTATTTATAATTTATTTTATTTAAAATAAAATTTAAATAAATGCTATACCATCGTTTTGTTTGTTTCAGATACTAAATAATATATGTTTTGATTAACGAAAGAGGTAACATATTGTGATGGGTTTTTATACAATGAAAAATCTATTTTGGATAATAGTTAAAATGTTAATAAAATACAGTAATTATAAATCACACCAGTGGTGTTAGGGTTAAAAAAATTAGGATAACATTAGAGATTATAAAATAAAAATTAGATCTAAAAATAAAGGTTTTGTTGGATGCTGAACATTTTTATTTAATACATCGAGCCTTGGTTATTTAGACAGTTTTTGAGATATAGTCAGTTACTATGGTGTTAAACACCACTGGTGTGATTAACAATACCGATAAAAAAACTGAAAGAAATTATTTACTTGTAAAATCAGATACTGTTAAAGTAATAAGACTGTTATATGTGCTATCATTAGTACTTATAAAAAAAGGAAAGTTTTCGGTTTGTCGAAGGTTTCTTGGTTTATGTGGTAAATACTCCGCAAAATAGTTAGAAGTGTTATCGGCATTATGTTGAACAGAATATCGGATATCTTGGGTACAATCTAAATCCACGATGTTTTAAATCGTTTGGATTAATTAAATATGATAAACTGTATGTGTAGGGTATAATTGTTCTTACCTGGAAAAAACCAAGAAGCACAATTCACTCTAAATTCTTGAAAAGACTCAAAATGGAAATCTATATATTTCACAAAAAATTAGTACGTATTAATAAAATCAATAACAAAAATTATCCCTTACACCGTTTGACAGGCAAATTTGCCTGTAACTTTCTGAACTGGTACACTTTTTCCTACAGATCTCATAAAAACCATAACGATAAGGGTATTTGGCATTATAAGATGATCAAATTGCCTATTCAAGCCAATACATATCATTTTGGCACTTTTATCTTATTAAAAATTCATTTATTTTTGAGGTCTTATAGAATTCATGTGATTTGTGCAAGATTTAGCCAATCATTCTTTGATCCACGTCGGATTTAGATGCGTTATATTAGCAATATATAATTTTGAGATAAGAACGTGACTTTAGCTAAAATTATTGAATATTTCGCCCAGGCAAATTTACCTTATGTATAGTGGAAGGGATAAAAAAAAATCATAAAAAAAAAAAACATATATATATATATATAGTATATACTTGGTAATGGTACAGAATCACGTTTATCAGAAGTAATTTTGATGGTCGGATCTTCATCGACCAATTTCTCAATTAATATACCAAACAAAGTTGATAAAATCAATAAAAAAATCAGAATTATAACAAGTCGCCAACGTCTAAGTTGTGATGGTGTGTTATCTTTTTTGATTAGATCTTTTACAATTTTATATAAATCACCTAACATTTTTTAAAGTTTTTTTTTTTAGAATTTTTAACATGGAAGATATGCTTACTTATATTATTTGAGTGCTGCAAAGCGAAAAACCGGAATTGTTGTTTTTCTAAAAATTCATTTACAGAAATGAGCTTAGATAAGCTCGTTTTGTAAAGTGAAATTTCTGAAATTCCGAATTCCGATTTTTCGTTTTGAGACTCTCATTTCTTAGTAATATAAATAGAAATAATTAAAATATATTGGGTTTTTTATTTGATCGAAATTTCATTTACTAATCTATCATTAATCATGTTCGTTGATGTACGCCACATTGCATTTTTAGTTGATAGCATCATTTAGGAAATGTATTATTGTTATTATTAAGGTAGCTGCGCGACGTAGTCGCGCTTAAACTAGGAACGTATTATGATCATTAAACACGTAAATAAGGATTCTGGCGTAGTGATGGACTTTTTCTAACATTTGTAAAAAAAGTACTCAATTATCATTATCTATGCAATCTATTTCAAAGTATTGTTCATCTTGTCATACGTATAAGCGAAAACATACATTTTGTTTATTTAAAATTTACTATGTATATAATGTCACGTAGCCTACATAGCTTTATATGAAATATTCATTATCCATTTGAGTAGCGATGGGTTGTAAACAATCAGTGGGTTTCTCGCATAATATCTTTTGCAGTATAGATGATTCCTTTAATAAAATATTATATTCCCAGGGATAGGCATATACATAGTTATCAGTGTTGGCAAATAGAACAATAGAACAAAAGCTTAATGTTTGTCTTTATATAAAATTTTTTTTTATTAATAATTTGCAATTATTTAAACATATTGTTAGAGCATTAGTAAAGTAATAAATTTAAAATATTTTTATATTTAATTAGTAAAATTTAATACTCAAAATT